GCAGCATGTAGCCACCAGGCTGATTCCCAACTTACGAGGTGTGCCATACGAAGACCGATGTAAGAAACTAGGGCTGTACACCTTAGCTTATCGTCAAATGGGGGTTGACCTCATCATGACGCACCGGATATTACATCTGAGTGATTATCCCATGTTGAGACAACTGCTTCAGATGCGCACACCAAGTTGAACGCGAGGACACCGGTACAAACTTGTCGTACCGGAGTTGAAGCGGGTCGCTCACCAACTGTTTCGAACGCAGAGTGGTGGATGTATAGAACGACCTGCCGCAGCAAATAGTAGAGGCGAACTCAGTGTCGGAATTTAAGAAGCCCCTTGACAAACACTTTGCAGACACAAAATATACAGAGCGGAACAGAACATAACGAGTATATGTCCAAGAGAGACGAATGATGCAGCTACACAGAGAAAGCTCTACTCGCTGTTCTGAACTAGTATTCAGTATTCACGGTGGTTGTTGAATGAAGTCTTAACTGTACTGAGGATTCTTGAAGTGACGGTGTCGCAATAATCCTTTCATGTTCTTCGTGATCCCATCAGTTATTCATTGAAATCTCTGGCTTTTCTTGCCGACTTTCAATAGTAAATGAGCTAACGCGTAAGCCGATCGGCAGCAGCGAGAAAAAAGGTTTGATTAGCTTTCACAAAAATCACCAAACCACTTAGGTTTTCCTGCAAAATCTAGTTATCCGTCATAATCCCAGAAGTTCCAGGCCTCCTCTATGCGTCTCGCATTTACGCCAATGGAGTACCTGAACATCGCTATTTGATATGATCTCGGATATTCATCTAACGTGAACAGCGTAGCGGAATCCATTCATTTTGCTTTCCACGCAATCCAACAAACGGATAATCTCCTTTCTGCCATTTGTAGAGGACGTGGCAATGAAACCAAGATATGTGCACCAAAAGCGAACGGGGTTGGGTACCTCAGCACATCTGTCAACATACCAAGTGACCCTTTGTGAAGCAAAAAATCAAACTGTGGGTCTCGATCAGAAAGCTATTATGCGTAGAACACAAGCTCATTCCATATCTCGAGTCAAGTGGAACCACATGCTATGTTAGAACACACCACCTTGCTACAACGTTCGAGCTTCGTTAATGTTCATATCAACCGATTTCGCCGCTGCAGTGATCGACCAACTATCGCAAGTTTCGCACAAAACGGTTAATCTCCACCGTTCGATAAACCAGGCGCAAGCTCAGTATGGCATTAAATCCACACAATTAGACTGACCTATGGGGAATACCTATAAACTGCAACAAGTGCCTTGTCTTCTCGATTGACGCTTCTGATCCACTTGGCAACTTTCACATCGGTGGCTTTCATAACGACTGCCATTCGAGGAAAGGATCTCGGCGTCATTGTATCCTCCGAGCTAAGAACAACTCAGGATACGTCAAAGAAAGTCGCTCCAGCTAACAGGATGTTTTGGACTATAAGATCATTCTCTCGGATGACCCCAAAGACCTGTTCGTTTCACATGCGCGTTCCATCCTTGAGTACAGCTTATCAGCGAGTTACCCACGCTCCAAATCGAGTGCAACCTACTGGAGAAAGTTCAGAGGCGAGGTTCTAAATCGATCCCAGCTCTTCGGAATTCGTCCTATGAATCTGCTCTCTCTAGACTACCGCCATCGTCGTGGAGACTTAATCTACGCAAGACGCATTCTGAGGCGAGTTGGGTAACGATCTCCAACAGTACTTCCAGATCAACAAAAGTATCTCAACTCATGCACACAGTTGGAAACTCTTCAAACCGAGGAGGCATCGTGTTCGCCTAGAGGTCACCTGCCCGGATAATGAACAATTCACCATACGCTGTGAACAGTGCTCTCACTGAGGAATTGTTCAAGGCTTTTGGATTTCCACCTGCTTAGTGTATCAGAATCACGCTGTTATTTGTGTAACAGTGCTCCCCATTGTGAACACCTTTTCTCATTAACGCGACTTCCTCAGTGCATTTGAGAAATGTACTCGGTGTAATTGTATTCACTGTTTTTCATTGGATCGTGGACTGTAGAGAGCAGAAGGGAAATCCTTTGTCAGCTCCATCGCTTTCCGATCAGTGTGGAGGCCGTGGTTCGCTGTGAAGCGGTATTCCACAAGTGAGGGTGATAGCTACAGTGGAAGCTGCAAGGACCCGCCGTACACAAGATACAAGGATCCAACATACGCTTGAAACTTTCTTCAGGCCGGGCATTGACCACTGGCTTCGGTAAATCGTCCAAGTCGTTGCGAGAGCAGAACGAACCCGGAGCCTACTGGGTTTAAAAAGTTTCCAGTCGTGGGCTCGAGTTAAACTGTTAGCAATGACTTGAAAGAACGCCGGCAGCTGTGTCTCCAACTCCCTTATCAGGATGCGGCTGGTGAAAATCGGGTCACCGCGACGTCGACGATAATCCAGGGAGAACATGTTAATCCGCAAAGGTCTCAGAGTATAAGACAAGTCCCATAACCCCCAGATGTATGTAGATCCCCGAAGTCAGACCATCTCAATTAGGCCACATTCGAACTTGAAAAGAAGACGGCAGGAAATCTGTATTCGAGAGTGGGACGCACAAAGGAAGTAAACAAGAGTCTGAAAATATCCAGAGTCAAACGCAAGAGGGCACTTTGTATGGTAAGGAACATCTTGTTGGCAGCGGCAATCCTTCGTAATGTGTCCTGCGTAGACCGTAGATCAGATGACACCAACATGTCGTTTTTCGAGGATTGAGATTCTAAACAAAGCCCCACTAGTATGGTACGTCCCGAAAGGCTTAAGAACACCGATGAGGAGGACCGAGCATTTATCGCGGACAATTGCCAGTTGACTGACCATTCATATGACGTAGCAAGTGTTATCTGTAATGTTTGCATCATCAAGACAAGATACCTCAATCCACAGCTTCAAGTCGTCAGCATAAATCAAGCAATCCGACTGAAGTTCGATCGGAAGGTCATTGATCAAGATTTTGAAAATTTGGGGCAAGCACAGATCTCTGCAGGACACCGCTAGTCATGAGCACATGAGCGGATTAATTCTCGTTCCCGCTGACTCGCATGGTATGGTCATCCAAGAAATCCGGATCCAAGATAGAACGTTCCAAGAAACACCGATTCCTTGCAGTTAATAAAGGAGCCTTTCATGAAGAACCTTGTCAAATGCCTTGCTGAAATCGACTAACATCCAGGCGCTTCCCAGCATCTAATGATTTCGCCCATCTTTCCCGAGTAACAAGCAAATTCGAAGAACATGAGTGTGCTCGAAGAAAAGCATGCTGCGAACAAAAGATGACATTCAGTTTTCGAGATGAGGATGCAGTGCCCGCGTGAGAATCCTGTCCACTACCTTGCATAAGATTGACGTTATGCAGCTGGATCGATAAGCAGCCGGATTTCGACGATGTTCTCCTTTGTGTATATGTTTAACAATCCCGTTTCCAAGCAATCGGGAGCCTTCCAACTTAAAGGGAGTGTGGAAAAACCAGGCAAACAGGAGGAGCAATGTAACCGGCCAGTCTTGAGGAACAGCTGGTGCAACACATTGGGACCCGGCGAGGAGTTCGGATCTAATGCACAAATGCCTTTGGCAACGGTATTAGCGATGATCTCTACGTGATCCAACGGAGAGGGGTGGATTGGTGCTAGGTCACGGGGTAACGACGTCTTAATGGAGTAAACATATGGATATTGCAGGACTTTCGTAGCGTCATCGAGAAGCAAACGAAATGCGCTAAAGAAGATAGAATAGGAATGACACTGCCTCCTCACGTACTGCCCTGCAAATAATACAAGTGTGTCTCGGGTGTCGTCTTAGATTGTAAAGCCAAACCGAGATCGTAGCTATGACGTTTTTCGCGTATCTTTTTAGGATGCAGATATTCATGGTCACTTTGTAGTCCGAATAGTTAGGCGCGGAGCATGAGAATGAATCGGTCCCACAATTTCCGCCTTTTGTTCAGTTTGGTGGCTAGTCTGTACGTAGGCTAAGCATGCGACATCCTTCAGAATGTAAGGTGCACAAGCATGAACACAATACTCTGCGGCCGAAGTATCGCTTTGTACAATGGAAGAAAGACCTCCGAATTTTAGTATTACATAACGCTTCTGAAGCGAGAAATTTGCTGTCGCGCTCTGTTAGCAGCATTTTGGCATTACGCCGAAGGCCTGAAGCTATGCACCATAAAGCCTTATCCACGCATTGCAATGTCAAGGACTTGTGGAAATTTGCACCGTAATCCCAACGTTACTGTAGGATAACAGGTGACATTAATTCGCGTTAAATGGCAAAACCCATGATTCAGACCACTTTGCCAGTGCCCCGGTCTTTAAACAACGGCCGGGGCACGAAAATTCGTCACTTAAGGAGCTGAGAAAAATTATGGTGATTTTAAAAAGTATCGCCTGTTAGGCAAGGAACAGAGGTGTGTAATCTTATATTATGGCATAATTGGACAGATCACGTTATTTAGTTACATAGTAACTTTTTGCCTCTGCAAGTGACCGAAACCTTGTAGTGACATGGAGATTTCCCTGTTTTACTGTAAAATATTAAAGCATACATTTTGTACCTAGACAACATAAGAAGCTTGCCTGTTTCAATGATTAGTGCATGTTTACGTCAACCAAACGAACCGCAATGAATGTTATTCAGCCTCGGAGAGCGTTTGCTGCGTCTCGGCAGGTGACTATACTTTTCCCTCCAGTCAGAACCCTTTTACGGTGCCTGAATTTGCTGGATTGCACGTCTCGACAATAAACGTCTATCTCACCCATATATCGGTCTTTTGCTGACTTTTACTTAAGGCAGAACGAAAGAGTTTATAGCGACCGAACGATTCCGCTATACACACCCGAGTGGGGCGCCTGGACCTGCACCGTGTGGACAGGGTGCATTCTATAATTGAGAATGCAACACTGATTCTATCTCATTCCCACAAAATGTCAGAACATGACAAAAGAGAATTAAGATAAGGCAAAATTATCTTACCCGATCGTCCTCTTGGATGTTAGCTGCGAGAGGAAGCCCATCAACAACCCTAGCAATGAAGGTGAAGTAAATCATCCGCGAACGCCAAACGTGGAAAATTTCATATGCCCGCCAGATCTTTTTCATTGCTTTTGCACATACTTATTATTCCTTATATGAATAACACCAAAACGTGTGTTTATTTTAGTTCACACAAATATTTGTTTTAAATTACTGAGTTATTTTGTGAAGGTCAATATATGCCATACTGCTAACATGGCGGTTGCGTCTGTGCGCAGCAGTATTGTCCAGGTTACGAATGTGTCTCCTACTGCTACTTCGGAGCAGTTAAGAACTCTGTTCGGGCATATAGGTGTCCTAGAAGAGTTTGTCATATATCCTGGAGATGATAAAGAGGAACCAGCTAGCAGGGTTAGTTTATAATATGCTATTTTTACCCATCAAGGTGGCCTTTATTCGTTATCATGAACCTATAAACGCTGAGGTGGCGTTGCACCTTAACAATACAGTTTTTCTTGATCGGGCGTTGATTGTACTTCCGCTTGCTAACGGCTTGGACTCCATCCCGGATGAGAAGTATGCTAACCTCGTAAGGGCACCACCGAATACTGCTGCTGGCGTTCTTCCTCGCACTGCTGACTGGCCCTTGGACGTCATCAGTATGGTTGTCGGTCGCCCTGGTGAACAAGTCATTCATACCATTGAGCCTAGGCTGACTACACTTGCCTTCCCTCTCTATCCTCCTCTTGCAGCCACGACGGACGGCAGCCGCATTGAGGAGATCCGCCGCACTATTCTCGTAACCAATCTCGACCCAAAAACTACCGGTGATCAGGTGCGTCCGTTCATTGCTATTTAGCCAGCATTGCGCTCCTTTTCTCTACCTTTCAGTAACTGCTATACGTCCTAGCTTTAGTTATTATGCATGATTGGTAGTATTTAACTTGTAAACCACTGGAATATTGAGTCACGTTTACTGCTGCTCGGCATAGTCACTACCTTCATACCGCAACTATTGGCTAGTTTTCTCTCTTTTTAGCAGTCATACTTGCCGTTATCTCGCTTGTACAATAAGTTACTTTGTCACTTGTGAACTATGTTTTCTAGTTACTAATTTGCTATGATTGGCATAGTTCCGTTAGCTTTGAACATACTATATCCACTTCTGAATAAGCGGACTTGGCACGCGATCTTTGCCTTCTTTTCACTGGTCGTCTTGTCTATTGATTTAGCTCCACACCTGCCTTCAGCGTTCAGCATACGCTGTTTGCCCTGTGACATTGGGAGTCGTACTTCTTTTATCTTCAGTCTGTTACTTTCACCTGTTTGGCGCTGGGTCTTCCTCCCTTTTACTCATAGATCATTACTGATCTATTTCGCCAAGTCTGATATAGGTGTGAAGCCATCTTCTATTCCTCAGTGTATAGCCAAAATATTCTCGAGCTCAGCTATGTCGTTATCTACTCTGTTGTCTTTTGTTCTTTTCGTTTGTAGTGTTTTTGCCTGGTCGGGTAGCTTAATGATTTATATATCTTTTCAAACTATCACCTATTAAGCCGCTATCTAATTGCTACTTTGTCTTCTGTATCATGTTTTCCAGCGCAAACTACCGTCGGCGTTGCGTGCGACCGCAACACGTTTTTATAAACGACCAACTAATCGTGCCGTCCGGCAGAATGTTGAATCACTCTACCTATGATTCTCTTGTCTTTTTGCTTTGTTTTTGCGAATTAGTTGCCACGGTTTGAACAAACAGGGCAGTCTCAGTGCATAAGCTGCTCAACCTTCACAGGAAATCTTTAGGCCCACTACCAGGAATGCGTCGTCCTGGCCCGATCAAGGAGCCGTTTGTTTGTAAAGGTAACTGCCAGGTTACCTGAGTTCTAGTGCTAATTGTCTACTGTTTTCCTCGCTGTATATTCCTTTGACTACTTGCTCTCAAGACTTTTGGTCGTTCCTAATTAAGCTCCTTTTTTAGGTTTTAGAATTCTTTAATAAGCATGCCGAGGTTCGCTGCGTACGGATGGCCGGAACTGAATTTGATCGCGCCGCGTATGTCGAGTTTACTCAGCAACCATCTATCGTTAAAGCGTTCGGTCTGATGGGCGCCACACTCAATGGCCGACAGGTGAGCCGTAGGATCTTGTGTTAATTCCTCACTTTAGATCATGGTGCAACATTCGAATTGCGCGATTATTAAGCCCGCGAACAACTTTGCTATGTTTGACGATGGATCCAAGATAGCTGCAGCTGTCGAAGCAAAGTCGGAGCACAGTAAGTACCGAAAATATTTACCAAAGTCTATCATCTTGATTTTCACACTCGTCTACTTTTTGTTACCTGCTTCCTTACCGTAAGTTTGTAGAATATGAAAGCTGGCAGTCCAAATATCCTTGTCAAGTTTTTGCTACGGCATCGTGTCAATATTGATTTGTCTGAGTTATCGCAATGACGTAGTTATCGCTGTCTAGTTGAACTGATCTTAGAACGCACTAGCTGCATTTGACTAATCACACTGTCATTTACTCTTCACTTTTCGTCTTAAATGTTACCCCGCATATAGTTGTGAAGTCAGCTTTTATCTGCTACCATAGCCAAAATGCCTTTCATTTCTTTTATGTATGTATGGACATAATCTCAACTGTCTAACAACTAGACATCCAGTATAAACTATGGAGATCACCGAATAACAGGAAGTCTTTGCGTCATATTCATCGTGACATAGTAGATAAGGGTGATCAACATACTTCAGCCACTGTGCTGCAAGAAGAAAAGACCATTTTGACAGAAAGTATAACAAAACCTTTTAGTTTGTTTTTTTACACGCTGCTTTTTCTATTTCTTTGTCATTTTTAATGCTTAAAGTATTAAACAAGTGGATCAATACAATACTGTACACAATTTTTTCACTGACTCCGGTTGAGGGCCCTGTCTTCACGAGTGTTAAGCCTTTGGCAATCCTCTTTCGGTCCTCATCCTGGAAGATGTCCTGGACCAACAGCGGCTAGACACGACGTCAGCGATTTCATGTGCTCTCGCTAAGTAGAAAGCTGACCACCACGCGGTCGCCTCTAGCCAGGTCCTTGAGGAGCAAATTGAGCGCGACGCGGTAGGCGCTCATGTGCCATGCGTTCGATGTGACCAACCCACTTTAACTGGCGCAGCAAAATAAGTTTCTTGAAGGGAATACTCGCATTCCCCAAGATGCGACGTCGAACGTCATTACTATTAACTCGATGTCTCCACCAAACACGAGCAATCCTCCTTAAGCAACCGTTATCGAAGGAAGAAAGACGCCGCGTCTTCCACGCGAATTGGCCAGGACTCGCTTCCATACTACAACACTGAAGTAACAGATGCGTTTAACCGCGGTCCTTTAGCGAGAATGAGACATCGCGACGACGCCACAAGTGCCTCAGATTGGCAAATGTTGATCGGACTTTAGCGATACGAAGAGAAACGTTTTTGTTGATAGTGCCGTCAGCACAAACACAGATCCCAAGGTAGACAAAACTATTTATCTGTTCAAATTGTGCACCTTCGAGAGTGAGCGCGGGAGCAGGTGAAAGCCAAACCTTGAGCAGTACTTTACACTTCGATGGGGCGAAGCTCATGCCATACTTAGATGCTTTAACCGCCAAACGATCCAGAATGGGTTGCATACCCTGAGAATCGTCACCAAGTAAGGCGATATCATCAGCAAAACCTCACTCGGTCGCGCGCAGAAGCTCTAGGTCAAAATGTTGGAAACCTAGAGCATTCGACAGAACGTCTTCGATTGCGAAGTTGAAGAGGAATGGGGACATAGGGCAGCCCTGTCACCCACCGCTATTGACAGCGAGTTGTGAGGAAAGCTTGCCCTAGACTCACTCTGCCGGATGTATGAAGGTAAAGTGATCGTAGGATGGCGGTATATTTCTCTGGCACCCCGTTCTTTAGCAAGCAACGCCGTAAAGCAGGTCGATCAACGGAGTCAAAAGCGGCACGTATGTCAAGGAATGCAACGATAGCGGGCCTGTGATAAATGTGGCGATGTTCGAGGAGCTGACGGGGCGTGAAGATTTGATCCACGCATTCGCGGCAAGGACGGAAACCAGCCTGTTCTTCACGGTAGTGTGATTCACGTACTGGGGATAGTCTGCGAAGCAGAGTGGATGCCAATAGCTTAGAGGCAACCGAAATAAGACTAATCCCGCGGTGACTTGCACATGAAGTGCGAGCGCCTTTCTTGAAAATCGAGACAATAACTGGTTTGCCCCAATAGGAAGGCACTTTCTTTTCATGCCAAATTTTTGCGAACAGCGCGGTCAGGTGGTTAATGGTCGCCACACCGCCGTACTTGAATAGCTCCGGAGGAAGTCCGTCTAAGCCGTCATCCTTGAAGCAGTTCAAGCGTCGAATCGTCCTTGACCGAACCGCCACTGCAGTCAGTTGGAGCGTACACCGAGATCACAAACAGGTTGTGTCTCTTCGCGGTGCCTGTTGATTCTACATGAACCCCGAAGCCGAACTGCACATAGTCGGCTGTTAATCGGGAACCAGTCCAGTAGTGCCGCCTCGGCGTTGCCACTTAGTGCTATACCTACGCCAGCCAAACCCGCTGAGGCTGCTTCTGGATCTCTAGAAAGACGCAGGTGATATCTGGCTTCGTAGTCATTGGGGATGTCAATGTAAGCACAGTGTTGGGATCTTGCAATCGGGTTTCTGAAAGACAGTAGACATGAATGTCTATGGAATCTAGGATGCGCGCTAGACCGGCTTTCTGTCCAATCTGCATAGCACAGCACACGGAACGAGGATCGGGGATGAAGGAGTGCCATAGGTTGAACTCCTTGGTCTGCGGCGCAACCGGAATCGCAGCCAGATTGTTGAACACACGACGCGGGTCACGGAAAGTCGCGTTAACGTGAGAAGCAGAAACGGTAGCTGATGAGCACTTTTGTAGTGCAGTCCATGGTTTTGCGAGGGCGTGATACTACCCGGTTTCCCAAGCCGAAGTAGGGAGTTAACTTAGGGAACTCCATCCCGAACCTTTGGCTAAATAACCTAAGCGCAACACAGCGGGGCGGATTCATCGAGTCGTTGACTGGATGTTAAGTTCATGCGTCTTTGTTTGGTAGATCACCAAACTGGGACCTAATACTCCTCATGAAATCAGCACAATTGCTGGACTACAATGCCCTACCGAAATGGAAGTCACCGATCATTTCACTGGAACGGGGTACGCCCGCACCACCTAGCTGGCACCACGAGGAGGTAGTTCGACAAGCCAGCCCTTATATGTTGTATGGTGCTAGTGATAGTGCGACTAAGACCAGAGCTTTCCTTTGGTTAGAGCTATTAGCTTTGCAACCTCGGTCCTCTTTATATTTGAATTCTTTGTGGTCTTTCGGCTGCTACTCCTATAACTCCAATGCTAGTCGATTAACAGTAGCTTCATTTATTCGGTTTGCCCCATGCTGAGACTGATGTTGCATTCTTGCTGCTTCTTCACCGCAGTTGGGCTAAACCAACTTTTTTTAAGCTGGGTAAATTTCATTCCACTTTATTTGTTTTGTTCTGGTTACCTGAATCATCTATCAACTGGCCACGTTGCTTACACTAATTGCGCTTATCTTCGGTAACTTTGTGACGTTTGTAGCATTTTTAAGTAACTTATGAACATTTCTTACTTATCGCGGAATCGTTACTAACCAACTTACTTCATATGCTAGTTTAGCGGAGCGTTATGCCACCGTATATGTATGCATTATTGGATTTGTTTTATTTCATCTTGTCGTTCCAGGTGATTGGCTGTTGCTTGATATCCCCGGTGTGGCTGCGTTTGATGTGCATGTTGACAAGGTGCCTACCTGTCTATTACCCACTACCTCGTTCATACTGGCTCCAGGAGACATTTGGACGTTGCTGAAGGGCACGAGGTGCACGGTCCTTGTGGCCGTGCTAGGCTCGAAGAGTGGTTCCATGCACTCAGTGTGAAGCGGACTACGGTCCAGCCACCGCCTTGTGTGCGCTTGATTCCTCAAATACAGTGTGCTTGTGTTTGCCTGTGAAGGAGTGTGGGCCGGCTCCGTTGATGAAACGTGGCTCCCATTCACATGCCTACCGACCTTCTTTACACTAGATATAGGGTGTGTGGTTGGTGTGAGTGGTGCAACGCAAGCCACCCATGGTCCCTCTGTAGGCACAGGCGTCCTGTGACTGGCCACAGTGACAGGCAAATCCGAAACCGGATGCCGGCAACCGTTTATGCGGTGCTGAACATTTCCTTGATAACACCGCCTTTTCTGCTGCATCGAGCGGGGTGTATAGGAGCGAAGAGCCTACTGCTCAGGCCTTCCCGTCTGCGTTTTCTACCAACGCCTCTTCATCCTTATCGTCCCCATCCAACTTCACACTTCCCCGTTTGCGACCTCTTAATTCTTGGTCCTCTTACATTTTCAGTTCCTTCACTCCTCTTTTGAGCCTTCGATCCTGCGTAAGACTGCCTTGCCTCAACCTACGCAATTTGTTACAGACTGACCAGCTTGCAGCACGTACATTATGACTGGAAATGTTATCGATCGATATCTGCTGTTTGGCGGAAACGCCTGGAAGATTCGAATTTCATGCTTAGGCTGCGATCCACCACAAACGACACTGGTAGCATGTTCTCATTGCGTTTGATCGGACATGGCGCAGTTTCAACTACCCGTCAAGCCGGTGCAGACATTGCTCTGAGTTCTCGGGTTGAACCTGTCCTGATAGATTGGATCTCAATAAACAGCTGGATATGCACCGTCAGGTTGACTGGCTCGTTCATTGCGTCGAAGTCACACGCAATCAAACAGTGTCTGTTTGTCATTGCAACTTATGCCCCACAAACTGTAACTCCGACTCAGTGAAAGATGACTGCTATCACCAACTGAATGAGCTCTTCACTTTTGAAGTATAGATAATGTGGTGTTTGCTGGTGATTTAAATGCCAAAGTTGGAAGATTGTTCACTGATGAGCTGCATCTAAGTGGCTAGCACAGTTTGAGCTCCCGTAATGATAGTCATCAGCAGTGCATCAGCCACCTGAACTGATGCTTCGCTGCCATACACCCACGGTGACCTGCAGAACAAGGAATAGTGACAAGGAGGGGAAGGGGACCTCCAGTAAAACCTTAATGGTCTAAACAAACAACGTGTCAAGGCGCTTACAATTTGTCCACAACATACCATCACAAACCGCAGACTATCGTGCAAACAAGACGGCATCGTCGTGACAACTTCCTTGAGGCTTTCACCGC